CAATCCACCGACCTGGGAAACGGTTATTGAGGAAATCCCGGACTTCTGTGACGTAATGAGGTGGTGCGCCGTCTTGCTGGAAGTGAATGAGTCCTTCTTGGTCATCTTCGTCTAACTGTGGTATGAGAAAATTTTACGAGCCATTTTCAAATGCACTGCAGCTTGCGCTCGCGGTGACGGAATTCTGTACTACAGCACAACGTGAGTCAAACTTGATTTGTTTTGCTACAAAATGACACCTCAACCGATTCTGTAAGCCTTCTGAATAAATTTCTATACACTTTCAAAGTTGTAAAGTCCTTTTTGAATCACCTGGTATATTTACACACACACATATATATATATAAAAAGAGAGTAAAAAACCTACAAAAAGAAGGTTTTAAATTAACGGTTGTTCATTATCCTACGGTGTGTTAAAGGGATGAAAATACAATGGGCTGAAAACACAAGGAATATTAGCAATAGACTGAAAGGACAAAGCAGGCAATAAATCACATGCTACACAGTTAGCTTTCGAGTTGGCAAGCAAAGGACATACCTAAGAGACTGGTGGCTATGAGCACTGCTTGAGGGAAAACTACTGTGATGTTCATCACTGCTCTCTTCTTGGGACTGTGACTTGCCAATTTTGCCAGTTCGTTTTCCTACAAAATAATTACAAGTTAATAAGGTCTACATCTTAGCAAAGTAATGAGACATAAAAAGTCTGCTATAAAGATTTATTCTACATACGTGGTGAATGATCATCATGTTCAGAATCATGATTTTCCATATTTTCCCGATTAATGTCACCACCTTCCTCCTTTTCTACAACTTTTCTGGTTAATTCCTGTAAATAAAACATCCATGAGTAAACATACATTATTTAACCATTTAACTGGTTGTAATTTAAAACCTTATGCCTGTACAATTGGTACAGTTCTCCAAGACTTCACACAAATTCCACAACAGGGGCACAAATGCTTGAAGAACAGTCCAAGAAATGCATGTAGGTCTTCTGAAGAATATCAACAAGTTGGCCCTGAAGATAGGAAAAAGGGAAGTGTCACACAGAATAACAAATGCAATGTTTCTGTTCTGTACAGTTATGACAGGGTAGACATGATTAACAAACAGAAACAGGATTCAAATGAAGAGGAAATGAAGAAAATAATAAAGATATCTTAAAGATAAGCTAAAAGATGCCCAAAAACTTAGTTGGCAAAAGAGTGTTTCTGCATTTAAATGTAAAGAATTACATTACCTAAGCACTCTCATACTTGATATACAGGCTGCATATAGTAAACTTTCAAATTTACCTGCAATATGAAGATTCCTGTCTTCTGGGTTGTTGCGCTGTGTAGTCTGGTTGATATTAGCCAACGTTTCAGAGGTCATACTGCCCTGATGACGAAGGCGGTATGACCTCTGAAACGTTGGCTAATATCAACCAGACTACACAGCGCAACAACCCAGAAGACAGGAATCTTCATACTCACCGCTGTGAAAACCTCAAATCTTACATACCTGCAATATATTTTCTGCTTGGAGTGAAAAATGCATTTCCTTGTTGTTGAGCCAATGCAGGATGAAGTTCGGTTCTCGATCTGGATCCCCAGTTATTAGGCTTGGAACAAGAGGAATGTCTGTAACAATTACAGCAGTATTAGAAATACAACATTAATCAGAAATAATTATATATGACTAACAAATGCAAATAATTTGTTTTATTAGCTTAAAATTCAGTGCAAGAAACTCGGGTGTTATCTTACAAGTGCACAAATCAGGTTCTAAGTTGAAACTAATTTCATAACAATTCTAGTGTAAATAAAACAGTTTATAACATGATATCACAGGCTTATGCTGTCAACATCAATCTGATCTTACAAGGAAAACCAACTTACCTGAAGGGAAGAGACCATTGAGAAACATATAAACAGGAGAGAACAGTATGGACTGGATTTATTTGACTCAGGACAGAGATCAATGGTAGACTCCTGTACACACTGTAATGAACCTTCCAGTTCTACAAAATGTGGGGAATTTGACAAGCTAAACAGCTATCATCTTATTAATAACTCTGATCCATGGTGTTATTAGTTTAAAGAACACTTATACAAAGAATACAGTATATAATATGCAACTGTAATCCTGCCAAGATCAGTTATATAATTTATCTAGCAATATTAATTGATCCCATGTTAAATGAATACCTTGCCTTGTTATAAATGGAAACAATTTCTGTATTTGAGGGTATCTGTTAATATGTTAAGTAAGCAGTCAGTTACAAGCTTAGGAATAAAATTTACCATGTTGCAAAATGTCACAAAGGCCTCAGACTTTACAGATACTTTGTTATGGCCAAAGCAACAAAAGAATAACAAAAGGAAAATTGTGAAAATTCCAAAATGAGGAGCTTCAAATTATTAGCAAGAACAAATCAAGGATGAGATGGGTGGGGCAAATAACACACAGTAGTGATAAATGCATACAAAATTTTATCCATGAAACCTGGATAGAAGGTATCACTTGGGACATACTGTAGATGACAAATATTTTAAAGCACTCATTAACAGGCAATTAAAACAATATAATTAAATGCCATGGCTTAAAGCCCAAGTTATAAAGAGGATGTAATTAGACTGGACTCAGCTGGCTCAGAACCAGTGATTCAGTCCAGGCCATTGCGAACATAACAATAAATCTTTTGGTTCCATAAAAGGCACAGAATTACTTTACCAGTTATATTACTACCAGATTTTCAAGAAGTCTGCTCTATGGAGTTTGATACTCATTTACAAATAAAGAGTTGGTATCAATGCCAACTAACTCACCTGTTTCTGCATTGATGCTTGCAGCCAGATGGAAGTGGAGGCCTGGAGTAACGCCTGTTCCGTGGTAGCCATAACTGTGGAAATCATGGACACTGTATGTGGAAGGGAGAGTAGGGATGGGAGAGCCAGTCCCAAGGAGATTATTACCTTGGTTCTGCTGATGTTTGGCGTTTCGACGGATGTGGAAACAAGTTCTGGAATCCACCCAACACTTAGTTAGCAGACAATGGACACATACAATAGACAATATAAAGCACAGTATTAATGAAATGACAAACATTCCACTACTGCATGCAGCAAGGTAAGATGACCTGCAACCTTCAACAACACTTCCATTCATTATAGTGACAACCACTATACATTCCGACCACAGAAGGCACCAATCACCAGATTTTTATGTTTATTGAGAGTTTGTTCACAATTTTTAAAAGAAACTGAGTTCAAATATAACTTTCCAAATTCATCCCTCCTAGCCAATTAACACATAAACACCCTTCTACTTTCTCATAATAAACTTGAACAAATCACATGCTTTCTTTAAAACTACTATTGCTTCAGAGCTACAGAAGGCATTTAGATTGGTCCAAATTAAATGAACAAGAAAACATGTTAATGTATAATTTGACAGAAAACTCTGTACTGTATCCATAGTGGTCTTTTAAATGTATGCAAAATCAGGATGTAAATATGTTCTATGGATATTGTCCACTGTGGAGAAAATACTATGTCCGCAACAATACAGAGACTGACAATGTATGTACATTTACGTAAAAAATAAAATAATCTTTGTTACTGTGCCCAGCTTAATGGGACTGAATATGCACTTTATTTTTTAATTTTAATTTAGAACTGCATGTGTGAAAAATGTCAACACCACTCACTGGTATTGACAGTAGAGGAAAGTAATTCCCTCATGAAACAAAGATGGGATTTATACAATGTAAAGTAAATCTGAAACTATAGCTAGTTAACCTTTAAAGTTTCTACTCAGGTACAGTATCAATCCTCCTAGATAAAAGAGCATAAAATGACACATAATTATATAAACAGATACCAATGCTCAACTGATACACTGCAATTTTTCCAAAAGGACAATCCAGTTTTAATTATATGTATTTATTAAAACATACAACAAATATCATTGCGTGTGATGTCAATGCTTGTGGAAATCATTGATGATTCATCATTTAGTTACTTATTTATTTATAGCTTATTTAATGACACTTTCTCAGTAGCTCAGACTATATAGTGTCAAATGAGAGGATGATAGTGAATAATGAATTGAAAAAGATGTGGAATGAAGTGGTCATGACCTGATTTCAGGTACTATTCCAGTATTCTCCTGGAGGGACTGAGGAAAACCATGAAAAACCCCCATTAAGGATAGCTGGTCTCTGAACCAAGTTTTGAACCCATGATCTCCTGAATACGAAGCAGGAGTGTTGACCACTCAACCATGATATTCAATGTAATTCATGATGAACCACTGCTAAATAAGATTATATGCACAAGAGAACAGTATCTGTTTCAGTGAAAATATTATATAAGTTCAGTATGAAAGCTACAAGCAAGTCTGCAATAAACAGGAAACTTCACAAGTTTGAATGGAATGGGCTTACAGCGAACAGTAGGATATGTGTTGGTGAAAAGGGAGTCAGAATAACAGAAAACATTGCATATATTCAACAAGAAATTGCACTGAGTTCCAGATAATCTGTAAGATGTGTTCCTCAGCAACATAAGTTAGGCAAATCATCAACACACCAGACTGGGTAAGAGTTCAGGTTCTCATATGAAGATCACCCCAATAATGGAAGCAGTTAACCCCTCTAAAATTTCAGTCAAGATCTAGCAGATCGTATGGCATAACACCCCAGAAGACAGCCATCTTAACATACAGGACTGTTCAAAACAATGTAAAATGTTTTCCATGCAATATTCAAATGAGAACATGATAAATTAATTAATTTTTGTGGTTCACTTCTAATTTTTTAGACAAATGGTTACACTAACAAGTAGAGTATCTGCAAATTGGCATTATAAAACTCACATGGAATAATAAAGGATACTCTTATTGGGGGGGGAATAAACTACTACAAGGATTGGGCCATTGACCTGTTTTTGGATAGTTACTCAAGGCACCTTGTCTTATTAGTCTTGCAGAATGCATTTTGAGTAGTGAGTGACAAGCCCACTGCCTCTGCATAATTTCTACTCAATCCTGATTTGTTTGCCAAAGCCATCTAGTAGAGAATCAGGAGACATGGGTGAGGAACATGGCCACTAAATTTTGCTAGCAAGTCTCTCTTTCATGCTTGCAGAGTTCTTCTACATGCCCTAAATCTAAGGCATGGGACTGATGGCTTTACTTCCCCTCCGAAGGAAGTTGTGCTACAGATTTTTACCACCCTTAAAAATCCATTAGCCTCAGCTGGGTTTGAACCCACGAACCTTGGGTCCAGTAGCAAGCACACTAACCACTAGCCCACTGAGAGTGACACCCCCCCCCCAAAAAAAAACATAATAGAAGAAATGAAGAATACTTAAGCAGCTGTGCATAACATACATGAACAGACTATAGCTGGAGTGGTTCCAAAGATGCAAAGATAACTGCAGATGGTTCTGGATGCTAATGACGCAGATAATAAAAATGTTTTCACTTGACTTTCACTCCCCCAAAACACTGTGTTCATTGACAACAAACACAATATTTGCAGTAAACTTTAATAAATATATGCAATTAAACTGTCTATTTGGGAGAAACCTGTACAAATATATTATGGAAAATTAGTAACTGACTAATACATTGACAGAGAAAGGTTCTCCTTAATCTTGGGCAAATGCAATATGTTTTCAATACACTGTTTAATTTAAATGTACTTCAAATCACCATATTTCACATTGCAGCAGAAAAAGGTCTTCATTAAGTTAGGTGTGGCAAATGTATAACCATATTTAAATACAGAAAGAAAATGAAATAAATAAAAGGCTGTTGGGGTTGTAATATTAATTTGGCCACTATTCAGAATTAAAATTAAGCATTTCTCTAAGCTCTGTTAAATTCTAATTATATTACAATACCATAAACAATTAAAGTAACTATCATTTTCACCTGCACAATTTAGTAACAAAATTTACAATTACAAAAAAGACTGTATTAAACACAGTCACACTTAATCATTTGTATGTATTAATTAAAACATCTCATGCACCTTGCAACATTACCAATTTCTTACAAACTTGTAGTTTCCCAATAATAATAAAAAAGAAAACATATTAATTTTCCATTAATGCTTGGTAAACTGTTAGCTCAAACCACAATTCTTAAAAACAGTTTGTATTAATACTTTGAGATTACAGACTCATCCACATGTCTTCAAAGCTTAACAGTTAAACACATTATCGTGTAGGATTTGAGGTTCTTCCAATAGCAAGTACAAATATAGTTATGTTGTAACACCATGTGGTCAGGTAGAAGTTTACCAATATTTCTGAAATACTTGCTGCCTCCATCATCACAGCAGGATTTCCCTGATGATGGAAGTAACAAGTATGTCTAAAACATTGGAAACTTATACCAGCCTACACAGCATTATGACCCTGAAGACAGCCATATTCAAATATGTAATCGTCACAAAGCTAAAAGCTCAGAAGACCCGTGAAACAGATAATATGAGCAAAATGAGGTCATTTGCTTACCAGAACAATTGCCCACAAAGATACCAACAGACAGAGAACTCCAGAAATATATCACATTACAGAATTAATAACATATTATTATAAATAAAGTTCTGTGTATGGTAAGTACCATTCCGTATTTCTGCAATGCACTGTTCACTCACACAAAAACAAATTCCATACTCATATGACTGATCACCCAAAAAAACCACTGCATTCTGTCAGCAATAAAGCTGCAAATTATTTGTTTTACTTGGAAAACAGTGACAATTCCTAACCCTGCAACAACTAAACATGGGTAATCAATTTTACAGACAGAAGACACTTTTCTTCCAGATTGTGGCACCATGTACACTTGACTACAGATGCCAACATTTCAGAGAAACATATCTTTAGGACTGAAGTGGTTATGCCGGGAAGTGGGCAAACATGGAGGAAAGTTTTGACAAATTGCTGGCATCTACTGGTAAGTCGACACGGCACTAAAACCCGGAAGAACAGAATCATTGTCCACATCGCCATGAAAGCTTCATATCTCACAATTTTATAAAACAATTTCCAACACTGAATAATCAGTAACTGTTCAGAAGATGCCTGTCTTCTAGGATGTTACACTGTGTAGTCTGGTAGGTAATGATTGACATTTCTGAGGAGCTTACTGGAATATCTACCTGACTTCATGGTGTAACATCCCAGAAAACTGCCATTTTTACACATCTTCTTCTTCTGCCTGTGGCTCTACAAATCAGTGTGAGTCTTGGCCGCCTCCTTTCAGAGGTTTCTTATTCTTTGAAGTGTGCATTTTGTGAGTAGTGAGTGTCAGGCACACTGCCTCTGCACAATTTCTAGTCAATCCTCATTTGGTCTACTACAGCCATCTAGTACAGAATCAGGAGAGACATAGGTGAGAAATGGATGCTAAATTTTGCTTACAAAATACCTCGTTGATGCTCATAAGGTTCTTTTACATGCTGTAAATCTACAACATGGGACCGCCAGCTTTACTTCCCCTCTGAAGAAAGTAGTGCTATGGATTTTTATTGCCCTTAAAAATCCATCAACTTCGGCCGGGTTTGAACCCGCAAACCTTGGGTCCAATGCTGAGCATGCTAACCACTAGTCCACAGAAGGCAACCATGTTTACACAAGCCACTATGAAAACCTGATATCTCATCAAGATCTGTTTAGCCACACGGGCTCCAATTTATTCCCATTCATACATCTGCCAAAAAAAATAATCTACTTGGCTAGAGTTAACAATTCAAAATATTGAATGAAGGAAAGTCAGCCCTCCCCTTCACTTCCCAAATATTCACATCCTATAAATTAAGAATTAAAAGAATTTAAAATTTCAGGCAGTTGCTGATTATTAAAGAACCGACTAAAGAAATCAATTTGTTCAGCCAAGGCATACAAACAAGTTCAACTAATATGACAACAAAAACAGACATTAAAAGCTTCTGACTTCTACAATATCATTTACCAGTGTTCTGTTATTTCAGCTGTTAGTGCAATT